ATTATAAATAGTCCAGATTATCGAATATTTAATTTGTCGAAATTAAAAAAAATCGATAAATCCATTATGTAGTCAAAAGTTGAAATGATCAAAAAGTCTATTACTAGATGGTTAAAAAAGAACAATCATTGGAAGCATGTTGCGATCTTTCATTTGTCATTTTATCATCACTTTAACGTGTATCAACTCTGTATATTATTGCTATATATTTTCAAACTTAACCTGAGCGGCCTAGATCTGTAGCGGGTTGCTACGCAAAAAAATATACATAAAATTAGAAAAAATAAAAAAAATTACTTTTTTTACTTAACCTGTGCGACCTGGGTTGCTTCGTTAAAAAATTGTATTAAATAAGAATAATTAAAAAACTTAACTACCGTAAAGTCGGGTGACTTTGACTCACTGTCAAAATTTCAATTGGTAAATAAAAGTAAATCCAAATTCGCATTTTCGCCATAATTTAGTCTTCAGTTATATTTTAATAATTATTAAGCAAAACTATCTCAAATGGTCCAATTTTTCAAATAAAAAATAAAAAAGGTGTGTGCAAAGCCACCCGCAGGCTCTATAATATTACTTGCTGGTTTAAAGCCACCCATCACAGTTTATAGTAAAACACATTTTACCATTAAAAAAATATTTTTTATTGCTTACGCTAAAGTTAATAACAAAAAATATTACAAACAACAGTATTGTTGGTTGCATACAAATTTTATCACCTTTCAATTTCGATTATTTTGAAATGAGTTTTTATACTACAAAAACCGTAAGTGTTCAATTGTCTTTAAATAAAGTGTTTTTGGTAGTTTTAATACCTTACAGTTCAACCAGCGTATTATTTTAAAAATAGTACGTACAATTTTTTGTGAACAAAAATAAGTATTTACGATTTGAGCTAAAGTCACCCATGCGGGTCAAATTCACCCGATTTTACGGTATTGTACTAATTTCGTAATATAATGCTTTCGATCTTCTACCATTTCGTTCTTATATCACTTCGATCATTGGTACTTTCAAATATATTGTGATATCGATCATTTGTACTTTCCATATCTGATTTCGATCATTTGTAATTTCGATCATTTGTTCTAATTCAATATTTTCTCTCTTTTCACCTTTTCTCGTTTTCGACCTTTTGACTTTCGATCATTTTTTCGCTCAGCGCATGTGCTTCGAAGGGTAAAAGAAAGGAATTTTTCTAAACTTTTTCTACTTTTATCCGAATGTTGATTTGTGTTGTCATACGTCATCTTATTTAAGTTATAATACCTACAGACTCTTTAAAGGAAGGCTACAAATTTTCTTTACTGGAAAATGTTTATCGGGGCTCAAAATTAAGAAAATTTATCATAATTAATTCAGTATTTAATACCATACTTCGAAAAACAAGAACAAAAATAGAGACATTGATACAACTTCTTTCTGGAACAAATTAATCTAAACGTGCGAAAATTAGTTATTCACGGAACGTTTTGTTTGAAAATTTACAGTTCTGTGGAAAATATCCCCAGGATGTACACGTGAGTTGAATTGAAGAGATCTGAATAATAACGGGTAATTACCAAGTGACAACTAAATTATAATGCATATACGAGTACCTACATCATTAATACGAGAGTATTTTGAAAGTTTTAAACGTTAAAAATTGTTCTTACGTGGTATCTTTCATTATTTTAAAAGGTGTTGATTTGTTTTTCTTTCTCAATTATTTACTCATTTGATTAGTAATATTTTATTGTTTACTGTTTACCGCCAAATCATAGGGGTAGTAAACTAAAGATAAGAAAATAAAGTTTGTTTCCTGAAAACAACTACTCCTTTGGTATTGTATCATCCTTATTTAGACCCGTCAGTAAGAAACAGACATTTCGATTTCAATCTCTAAGGAAATTTGCAGACGTATTAAATGATATTACCTACATGGATGAAGGTTGCGAGAAAATAATAAATTACAAAGTAAAAATGATAACGCCATCTGCAGTTAGTAAGCAAAAACAAAGGTCGCTTGTAGTACCTAGTTCAGAGCCTAAGTGAAATATAAGCCAGGCGCGCTATTTATAAAAATTATTTCCTTTTTTTTAGGGATAGTTGAAGACATCAAAAATGTTTTTTACTTAATAAACGTCTGTCCAAAAACGCTTCCGAGACACAGAGTAATAAACTTTTAAAACAAAATAGATTTTTAATCAATATGTTAAAATCGTTTAGACTGATTTTCACATTTTGTTGATCTCCTTTGGACCTATTAGCGTGTATCCAAAATATTCATAATCGTGCCCACTGAGCTGCCCCTAAAAGTTTGGCGGTTTAGTTACCAAACACCCAGTGTATTTCAATATGAATGAAACAATGAGATTTTTGTCAACTTTTCTTTATCGGATAGTTTAATTTTTCAAAACCTTTTCTATACGTGTTCCCAATAAAAACTCATAGTTCAAATATTTTGGCAACTATTAAAGATAGTTGGATTTTGTAAAGGCCAGTTTACTAAGGTGTATTTGTGCCTTAAATTTTGAGTACAAATTAGTTTAAATAGAAGATGGCGCTACCTTATAAGGAATCTTTTCCATGACTAGACATTTGTTTTATACAGTTTCGTACCCAACCCAAGGTGGTACAATCGTACCACCGCTGTAATTTTGTGAATTAATAGCGAATGTCATCTGCAAGGATTTAGTTTAAAACTCCTGCAAACGAGACGCCAGACAATTCAGAACTTGTAAAAATATCGGCTAAGAAATTTACAATACACATATTTGATAAGATAACTCACTTGACATGACTCATTAACTCAGTTTATTAAGCATTGAACATGCAGTCAAATTTGCATTTCGGGACGAGGTTCAATTCACGATGAAAGCAATATTTTTATCTTGGAAAAAATTTGAAAATCTATAAAAAAATACGTACTTTCGCGTCATATTAAACTGGTACAACTCTTATAACGAAAAATCGAGTCTCTTAAGCTGGGTAAATTGATATTTTAAAATGTGTCAGTGTTAATCTATTTTATAGGTTATAATTTCTAGGACAATGATACCAGCACTACGAAAATATTAGTAGATGTAATGATACAAACAAATTTTGTCAATAAAACGAAGGGAAAAATTAAAAATTTAATGCAGCATTAATGCACAAAGAGTAACTTCTTTCTGGACACTGTGGCCTCAAAAGGCACATGAGTGTCATCAATCCAGCAGAAAAAGCAACTTTGTGAAGGTTCTGTGAAGAAGAAGAGGAAACATCATTCCACGTCCTGTGCCAATGTGAAGGCCAGGCTGGAATGAGGTTTCTAACATTGGGCGAAGAAAAGCCAAACGACATACTCTAAAACAAACGGAATCTCACAATAGATCTAAAAAGGTCGCGGTGGACAAGGACAAACAAAGTCCAACTCCCAATCTAATCTAACTTCAATTTAAAATGAATAAGTGTAAAATTTAAATACATATGACAATAACTCGAAATTCAGTTTTTTTCATTGCTGTTGTAACTAAAGCATTAAAGTTTGTTTTAACTTTTGCCTGTCTTAAAGAGATGCTTCCTTAAATAATCAGTTAATGTTTTATCTTATTTTGCTGTAGTTACAACTGGTCTCCCAGTTTTTCTTTTTCTGTTCACAGTTTGATCGTAGTCCCATTTTTTTTTTTATTTTCTGAATCGTGGTTTTGCATGTATTAAATTCTAATAGACCAACCATCTTCTATTTCGTAACAATGCGCTTTGACAAACTTGACAAATCTGAGATTTGTTTATAAATACGGGCTTTATAGTAAAAACATCTAGGTCAAATTTATTTATCTATGAGTAGTAATTAGTGTTTACAATAAAAGGCGTATCGCTTCTTTTCAGGTCCCATCATATTTGGTATAGTCGAAGCATTGAAGCAAAAAAAGACACTTGGTGTTCAAGGGGTCGTTTCCGACGTGAAATTAGGATTAAGCACCCCAAAAAACGCCCCTACATTGATTTTCGGTTTGTTTTTGGCGATCTTGTCAGGAATATTCTCGGGGATGACGTTGACGTCCAGGTTTGGGCGCACCAGGTGTCCGGGGGGTGTTTGCCGATGCCACATTTGAATTCAGCGTCCCAAATAACCCCAATAACGATTTTCGGTTCGTCTTTTTCGATTGTGTGAGGAAAACTCACGGAGATGAGGTCCGCGTCCAGGTTCCAATGCACCAGGTGTTCAAGGGGTCATTTTGGACGTGAAATTTGGATTTAGCGCCCCAAAAAGCGCCCCACAATGATTTTCGGGTTGTTTTTGGCGATCTTGTCAGGGAAATTCTCAGTGATGATTTCCACGTCTAGGTTCGGGTATACCAGGTATCCAGGGGGTAATCGCCGATGGGCCGATGCCATATTTAAATTCAGTGACCTAAAAAACCACCAGGGTATCTATTCTTGAATCTCAGGGAGTAGAAATTTTAAGGGGAGAATGAGACAAAAATACAAATTTTGTGCGTTGCAGATAAAGAGGCAAAACCGGTTTTCTATTCCCTCGAATTCAAGAATAGCTACCCAGGCGCCGAGTTTCTCTCCTTTCCCGCGTGAATTTCCGGAGGGTCCCACGGAGATGACGTTCATCGGCGTTCCTGAGCTCCATGTCGGCTGTGGGTCAATTTAAACATCATAATCATGATCAACGACCTCGAAAACCTCCGGCAACCCGATTTGGGCCAGTTTTGACTCTTATTTAGAAAGTTCTTTAATCCTCCAAAAGCCGTCGCAAAAAAATGCATTTTGGCTGCAGCAATGCAATTTCCGGTTTATATAAGATAAAAAGTAGGGGCATTTTTTCCAAAATATTTTTGGAAGCGAATGCAAAAAACCGAATTCTGATCCGTCTTAGTCTAAAAAATTCCGAACTTTTCGCCTTTTTACTGCTTCATTGCCTCGACTAGTAATATTCGTGAGGCATCCAAAAAAGCTCAGAAAAAAAAAGTTTTCACCTCTTTGAAAACATTCTCCAAACCGTACAAATATAGTATAATTCTTACCTTCGTTAAATGTAATTTTGTTTTCGCTTGTCGTGCTACTACTTCTTGTGGATTTTGTGCTGTCATATTGGTATTTTCTTCTTGGTGTCGATTGACTAGAATATGGTAGTTTATTGTAGTATGATTTCTGCTGAAACGATTTAGGTAACCTCGGGGTAGTAGTAGTGTGTGATTCTTCGCTGTCGCTTTGTTCATCTGAAATAAAGAAAAAATAATAAAAATTTGTACATAGATTTTACCTTCATCTTCTATTTATTTTTTACAGTTCAATCTTATTTTTAATTTCCTCTTATTCGTTTAAAAAAATGCAATAAGTTTTTCCGAAGAGAGACATTAATTTACATACTAAATTAACTACATTTTAAAACATATCTCACGTAATAGTCTTTCAGAAGTACCTTGTTCTAGACAGAGAAGATATTTTAATACATTCTCTTTTTTATCAAATCCGTTTAATATGATGAAATATTAAAAAATAATGCATTCATTTAAATTGAAAATATTGATGTTTTGTTAAATCAAAATTACATGTTTTTTTTTCACCTCGTATAATAAAATGTCTTTTATTGTCAAATATTAGTTAATTACTACCTTCTTCACCATAATTCAATTAAATATGTGTCAAATTTTAACTAACTTTAGACAATAATAAACATTATTTTAATACCAGCGATAGAAAATATTCTTTTTCATAAATTACAATTTTTTATTGTACAAAGTGACCATACGTTTTGATGTATTAGAATCTTCAAGCATATATTACTAGAGCCATCGTCCAAATGGACTTTGTTTTGGTACAAGGGGGAAACATAGTGTCCAGCATTACCATTGGTCTGTTTCGTTTTGCTTGGCATGTCAAATCGTTCGAAATTGTCAGAACTGTCATTTGATTTTTGATTTTCATTAATTTCTAGCTTATTTTTGTAGTTAATAAGTGATTTTTTGTATTTTATTACTTTACTGATACAAATTTTAACAATGGCGAGAGTTTATGTAAGTTGTAAATAGAAATAAGAAAAGACATCGTCAAGGGCATTTTACAAGTAAGTAACCATTAGCGTCTCTACCATTTTTTTAAAATAAACATAGTACCTACATTTTATGCAAAAGGCCGTTAAACATAAATTTAAAATAAATGGTAATTTTAGTGAATTAAATTTAAAGAACTTGTATTATGTATGAGGAATACTGAAAAATAATCATAATTTTTCAATATAAACAAGCTTTTATAAAAGTCATTTTATCATGACAATGTTGAAGATGTTAAATCAATAATTTTTGTTTTTTGTAGGTTTCCAGCTATTCATGCCGAAAAAACGCATTTGGTGAAACATATTAAAACTTCTCCAGAAAACATTTCAAACAAAAATGTTTTATGTTCCAATCATTTGCGGAGGAAGAACTAGATTAATTCCAAGTGCATTGCCATCAGCATTTACTGAGGCCCCAGAAGAAGATCAATTTAAAAGGTAGAGAACCCTGCACTTTTCTTGAGGGTTAATCGTTCAAAATTTTTAATTTTTCAGTGATGATCTGAACCATGAAGCCTCTGTTGCAAAAAAAGAAAATGCAGAATTAGAAAACATGTAAGTAACTAAGTACTTATTAATACAACATAAATTTTATTTTAAAATAATTACCTATTACTACCTATATTTTTTATAAACTACAAAAATTGACAATAATTATTTTGTATTAAATGTACCTATGTTCTTTAATTAATTAGACTACTAGTCGTTAAGAAATAAGCAAAACCTAATGTAAGTTTTTCAATAAAAAAGTTAGTTTAAGCTTGTTTATTTTCACTCCTAGTCATTAAGAAATAATCGAAGCTTAAGACAGTTTTCCAATAAAAATGAAGCTTCACTTAATTGTTAACGACTAGCAGTGCAAATGTACCTAAGTACCTAAGTATTAGCTTGATTTCTATTTGTATTATATCGTTTAGTAATCTATTAAACATTGGTTACGAACATTATTTTTATATTTCATAAATTATTGCAAAAAGTTCTTGTATTGTAATTATGTACACGTGTGTTAAGAGATATCATAAATATTTGTATAATATACTTACTATTTATTTATATTTTTGATTTTTAAATATAAGCTTTTTATGTTTTTTATTGACTATTATTTTAACCTTCATTTTTCCGATATCACTTTCTGATGTTTGAATTAAAAAAAATATCTGATGTTTCCAACACAAATAATAATAATAATAATTATTATTATTTACTATTACTAGATAGGCAGGTACCTACTTAAATAATGCAAGTTTATAAAATATGTGCATAATTTAAAGAATTTTGAAGGTATGTATTAAATTTATTATTTATATTAATTGCAAACCCCGTAAAAATGATGCGACACTGGTAATAGTATCTAGGTATGTTCCCTCATAACGTAAACAAACCCTACTCTATGAAATATATAAGCTGGAAGATTAGAATACAGAATAAAAATAGGTTGTCTTATTTAAAATAAGAAAGTTGACATCTACTTCCGGTATAAACGAAAATGACAGAACTGTGAAAAAGAAAAGAAGGAAAAATCATAACCTCTTTCCTATTTTTACTAATTTTAACAAAATCTGTTTTTATATAGAGGATATCCTATTTAATCAAATATAATTTTTTGTTGTATTCCGTAAAATCTGATTTTGATCTGTTTTTGATAGCATTTAAACTAAATTCAGTTATAGCCACACAACTTTTATTACTACATTTATTTTCTATATGATGTAATAATAACGATAATGAAGGGTGGGTAATTTATAATAAATAACCTTGTATCATCTCCAAAAATTTTGATAGAAACATTTTATTTAAACAGCTATCTTGATAGGTTTCTATTTAAACTATAAATATTGTACAATGATGTAATTTTTTATTTACATACCTAGTAAAATTTTAAACAAATCCAACAAAGTTGTGGTTTTTCGGTAAATTACCATGTATTATGCAGTAGGCCTTGACATTGAAAAAATGCATAGCCATTGAATATAGTAACTTTTTACCATTTAAAAATCTATAAATATAAATTTTACTTGAAATATATCGGCGACCGTTATAACTATAATACAGACTTGATCTTTCACTTAGTAATGTTCCTTACCCATGACGTAAAAACAAATTCACTACATTTTCTCGAAAAACACCTGAATCAAACATTTATTTTATGTTTGCGGTAGACTGGTCTAGCCAACGATTGTAAATCATTTAAGTATACTAAATTAAATTTTTAAAAATTTCGCCCGTGACATAAAACGACATAATCCTATCAAACCGTGACTGACATGTCTCACGTGAGAAGAAATAAAATGTAAATTTTTGGTCGTGAATGGTGCAGTTATTATTAGAAGATTTCGTTGATATAACCAAAAATACATCAGGAGCAGGAGCATACGGTAGTCGCACCATGTGATTTTCTTAAAAATAAATTTAGTCTGTGAGCCAATGCACGTGATTTCAATGTAGGTAACTAAAGATAGCCAAAAGTCTTTACTGATTCTTTTGTTTTAAATTATGTGTTTTATCGTTGAGATATAAAGAAAAGATGCTTTGACGATACTGAAACTGTCCGCACCTTTGCATTACACTTTTACGTCATTTGTTAAACTCGAGCTAACGGAGCTAGTCAGTTTTGGTAAAAATAAATCCAATTTTTTTTTAAATAGCTTCATTTAAATGATATAAAAACAATTTCAATCAGTCAATCTTCAAATATTAAATTATAAATTATTGACATGTAATAAATCAAAGTAGGTACCATTCTAAATCGCCATTTTCATTACACTTTTCCATCACTCAAAATGCGTCCATCTGTCATATCGCAAAATAGTGTTTATGTCTACTCTACTTTTATCTCGATGGTTTTATTAGTATTTAACTTCGAGCATATGCTCGAAGGTATTTAATAACTTTTCTGTCAAAGTGTCTTTATACCTTAGAATATATACAGTCAGGAAGGAGGAATCTTAAACGACCTTGGAATCGCGATGGTATCTAATTTTGACAGTGAACTAGAGTATGAAGAAACTAGACGAATATGGCGACGTTTCCCGTCTACCAGTGACGTACTGTCATAAAGGGGCGTAGAAAAGAAAATAATAAATTCTCATTTGCATATTATCTAAATTTACCGATTTCTCTCATTTTAACGAATTGCTATTTTCTTGCGAGAAGTTTGTATTTTTTTTTTATTAACCTTCATTACGTGAACAAATTTTACTTTAAAATTGCATGTTGGGTGGGATAAATATAGGAAAATATTTTTGGGATAATTTATAGAGGGATTTCATTTAAAAAATCAAAGCAATAATGTATTAAAAAAAATATTTACTTTTTTACGTCTTTATTATGACAATGTCTTTATTAATCTACATTTTACAAATTATTAAGCTTAGAAAAATAAATATGTTTTATATTTAGGTCAAACACTGCTGTGATATTTTTTTCTTAGATGTTTTTGTTGGAGTACATATAAACTTCCTAATATCGAAGAGAATTTCTGATCATTTTATTACATAATATTATTAGTAATATTTTTTGCAGTAGCATAAGCAGGTAAAACACCTTTCCAAGAATTGATCCTAAAACGTAATAATGATTCTATGAATGCAAAATAGATTATTTTTAAATGTACATTCAACGCATTATTTGTATGCTTCGTCCAGTTATGATGAGAGTCAATTTGTACTCTAAGGTATTTGATATCATTTGTAATACTTCTATGAAACTTCTGAACGTTACCTTTTATTGTTTCTATAGGAAGAGGTCACCTTTTTGTAACTGTATATTGGAACAACATAAGTTTTATCAAAGGTTTGTGAGTTTTTATAATTAAACCATTCGAAATTTTTTATAAGATTTGTTTCTTTTAATAATTTTAATCAATACCGGTTCTCTGCATTTTACAGAATAACTGTGTCGTCTGAAAAACTTACAATATTTCCATCTGTATTTAAACGACAAATTATTTAAAATAAAATTAAACAAGATAGGACCTAAGACAATATCTTGAGGCATGCGATATGCTACTTATTTCCTTACTTATTTTCTTACTCGTTTTGGTAAATAACTTTGTAATAAATTATATAGGGTGCATCACATTCATACAATAAACTTCTATTATACGAAAAAAACGGCACATGATATGGTTAGTAAAGAATTTATTTACTTATATACTTAAACCGG